TAGGTTCTAGGCAAGCAGGTAAAACTGAAGTTTTACTTTAATTCCAACCTATGAAATCCTGCTGGAGTCATTTAGGCACCAGGGGTATAACAGAAGACAATTATTGCCCAGTTGTTCTTATCTTTAATGAACTATCATGTCACCTTTGTGAAAGTCTTATGATTCAGGATGGGCAGCCCTTCACAGCAGGAATGTCAGGAATGCTAAAAATAAAAGCCTGGGGACTTTTTAGAAAAGAAAATTAAATGTAATATGGTGATGGAACCTCCAATAGGTTGGAGCAGAAGTGCCACAAATGATAGGTTTTGTCTGGAGATGTAAAACTTTTCACCCAATCAGCTCCAGGAATTTCATTTTAGAGAAGGTCTGGCACCTGTAAATTCGTGGCTAATTGCAGGAGCTGCTGGAGGATGTTACTGAGGCAGCCACTCCAGCGGGATAAACTGGGATGGAAATTTTCTTTCAAGCACACGAGTCATGAAAACTCTTCTAAAACAATGAAGGAACAGATTAATCTCAGACCTTCATATTAATGTTCCCATCTCTTTCTGCATGAGGAAGAAAAGTGACTTTATACAACATACTGCATGTTCCTGCTCATTTCAGTGGAGGGGTGCTGGGTTCCATGGGCGTGAGCTGGGTATGTGAAGTCAGATGTTCCTGCTCTGACCCTTTCCAGCACACAGGGAGCTCCCACACACCAAAAGCTCGAGCCCAGGGCTAGAAATGTCCTATAACCTCCTCAGGGTGAACCTGTCCTGGTGCAGAATGATTCCCTATGAAATTCTTGTAGTCCAGTTTTCAAGCCACCACGTGGAGACCTCTCCATCCCTTGGAATCATGGAATCACAGAACCACAGAGTACCCCAAGTAGGAAGGGACCCACGAGGATTATTGAGTTTAACTCCTGGCCTGCACAGGGCACCCCAACAATCCCACCTTGTGCCTGAGAGCATTGTCCAAAGGCTCCTTGTGCTCTGGCAGTTCTTTTTATCCCTCCTAGGCTTCAGCTGCCTCTCAAGGTGTACAGAGCCAGAGTCCTTAGGAAGTTGTTGCCTCTTTAGCCCCTGGTTATCTTCAAAAATCCTACTTTTGAACTGTGTGTCCCAGTTCCAAGTTAGGCAAATTTCCTGCATTAACACCTCACAAAAAAAGCAGAGGTTAAAAGCAGGGGAAACTGAAATTTCTGCCCGGGGTGTTAATCCAAGGGGAACATCATCACATTGTCATCTCTCTTGCAGGGGGGGATTTAAAGAGTGAGGAGCAAGAGAAGCAAAAGTGTAAAGTTATGTGGGATATTAGGCAAAAAGATTTCCTGCACTGCTGTTACATGAGCAGCCAAGGACTGTTATTTTTGCATTTCTGTCACTGTCCCTTTTGCCATCTGGACAATGGTCAGTGGGAAGAGAAAGAACAGGAGTGAAAGCTGCCTCAGTGGAGCAGAAGTGGCTCTCCAGTGGAGCTGGTTAGAGGTGTTTGTGACTCCTCCTGCCTGCACCAGATATGTGGAACTGGCTTTTCATGTTCTGCTGCATTAGGTAGAAGACCTTGGAGAAAAGTAAGTGCCAGGTTCTGGCGTACCTGGGGCGAGCCGTGGAGAGTGCACATCACTGACACAGTAATGACAGCCTGCCAGGGCACAAAATGCTGAACAACTCGTCTGACATCAACACTCCTCTGCTTTTCCAGAGCAGCATCAATAATCAGGATTCTTTTCACTCTGCTGCTCATGCAGGGTGAGATTTTTGGAGGTGTTGAGCAACCGCTTCTTCCCCCTCTCCCCACCTCCCCCTCGGCATCAGTGGCTGCTGTTGGCACTTCATAAGTCTGAAATTAAAAATTGCTTCATGCTCAGGAAGGACATTGTGCTTAAAATGTATTTTCCTGGTGCATTTTATTCCAAAATGCCTTTGGGGCAG